GTATTAGTTTGTGTATTGTTGACACCCCTCCAAGCCTTGACAAAAGACTATCAAGGATCTTCTCACATTGTTATCACCATTAGGCAGTTTGATACAACTGTAGACTTCAATTTCTATATATATGTTGCAATTTGTTATTTTAAATTAAAGACAAAAGTTTAAGAAGTTATGTAAGGCCACTTATTGTCCTGTAAGAAAGTTAACAACTGTCCAGTTTCAGGAATGTAGAATATCATTTGTTTAAGGCAAAACTTTACTTAAATCTCAAAACTAAAGTCCCTGATGTGAAATTAGAACAACAGTAACATATCATCACATAACATTATCATCATCGCTCACTATACTCACAGGAAAGGCAAGATGGACATATAACAAGATTTAGACCAGTACCATCAGTATTGGAACTCTCTGCTGGCTGCTGAAGATGAGGATGGAGCATGCATGGGAATGCCCTGAGTGCTGTGAAGTCAATTCTTGACTTAATTCAACTCATCGCTGTCTGTAGTGCTGTCTTATATCACACAGGGCTCACAATCTAATCCTCCATTCTTTTCTATGCTGTGCAGTTCTTTCAATATCATGGGTGAAATCCAGTCTAAGTAAAAGTAAGGAAAGGACCCTTTTCCACGCCTTTAGGTGTATAGGGCATATAGGACTAGACCTATATTTTTATAGACTAACCGGCACAAGATAGGTGATGTGGTCAGCATCACGCCGAAATCCAGTCTAGCACCTTTAAATTCTCTCAGGAACTTTCGTTTTAGAGTTTCTCTGAGAATCATTTTTAGATGTCCACCTTTTCTAATCTGTTTCCTATTTCAGTGCCTGTTTCTCCTTCAGAGTTGTTGTGCACTGCCTGAGAGGCAAGCAACAACAACAACTGCACACAAATAAGCCAGTATAATGGGCGTACACACAAAACTCAGGTCCTGGTACAAAACTGAAGTCTAAATGGGCAAACAACCAGGACTCTCCAGCAGAGTTCACAGCCAATAAACACAAAGAAAGAAGAGTTTTTACCAGAATTCACAGCCAGTGAACACAAAGAAAGAAGAGTTTCCAGCAGAATTCACAGGCAGTGAACACACAGAAAGAAGAGTTTCCAGCAGAATTCACAGCCAGTGAACACACAGAAAGAAGAGTTTCCAGCAGAATTCACAGGCAGTGAACACACAGAAAGAAGAGTTTCCAGCAGAATTCACAGGCAGTGAACACACAGAAAGAAGAGTTTCCAGCAGAATTCACAGCCAGTGAACACACAGAAAGAAGAGTTTCCAGCAGAATTCACAGGCAGTGAACACACAGAAAGAAGAGTTTCCAGCAGAATTCACAGGCAGTGAACACACAGAAAGAAGAGTTTCCAGCAGAATTCACAGGCAGTGAACACACAGAAAGAAGAGTTTCCAGCAGAATTCACAGGCAGTGAACACACAGAAAGAAGAGTTTCCAGCAGAATTCACAGCCAGTGAACACACAGAAAGAAGAGTTTTCCAGCAGAATTCACAGGCAGTGAACACACAGAAAGAAGAGTTTCCAGCAGAATTCACAGCCAGTGAACACACAGAAAGAAGAGTTTCCAGCAGAATTCACAGCCAGTGAACACACAGAAAGAAGAGTTTCCAGCAGAATTCACAGGCAGTGAACACACAGAAAGAAGAGTTTCCAGCAGAATTCACAGCCAGTGAACACACAGAAAGAAGAGTTTCCAACAGAATTCACAGCCAGTGAACACACAGAAAGAAGAGTTTCCAGCAGAATTCACAGGCAGAGAACACACAGAAAGAAGAGTTTCCAGCAGAATCTACAGGCAGTGAACACACAGAAAGAAGAGTTTCCAGCAGAATTCACAGGCAGAGAACACACAGAAAGAAGAAAGAGAACCAGATTAGTGAATATCTGTGCTCTCTGCTTGCTTCTTCTCAGGATGTGCCCAAAATTGTGTCACTTTTTTTTTCCAGTCTCATAACTATCATTAGTAACTTGTACCTGTATAATAAAAATTAAAATAAAAAATTTGAACTGCTTCAGCCTGCCACTGAGGGTTTGGCTTTACTTGCGTCCTTATTTCTTTTGTGGAATGATGTTGTGGTGCGTGAATGCGCCTCCTGTTTACAACTTGCTCTCCTTGCCATTGTCAGTGTTGGAGCTGATTCCTTTGCTGGGTGTCAATCGCACAGTCACTGATTCCACCAGGGCAGTCGCCAAGTGCACTCTCTCGGAACAAACAAGCCTGACACTGAGCCACCCTCCACAAGGCCCTTTGCTGGGTCCCCTATTTAATTTCTTTTTTTTTTTAGCTTTTTTTTTTCCCCCACCTCATACATGTGTATGGATGTGAGCTTTTTTTTTTTTTTGGTCTCTTTTTTTTTTTCTATTTTTTTGGCCTTGCCTTTTTATCTTCTTTTTTTTAATCGTATTTTTTTTTTTTCAATTTTTTATCCAGTTTTCTTCTGGCCAACTATCATTAAATAACATCTTCAAATTTATGAAGTTACAAAACCTAACAAACTCTACAGCCAAAATGTGAAAATAAATGGTGCCTGAGATTTCGAATGCTTCAAAATTTGAACAGCTTGGAATCAGAATGAAATATTCATGTACATTTTGTCTTGAAACTTAAAGCCACCTTGGGAACCAAGTTGAGCTGATTTGATTCAAGAACTGACATCACAGCACACTGGCCATTCCCATAAGTGCTCCGTCCCCATCTTCAGCAGCCAGCGCAAAGTTCCGATACTAATGATGCCAGTAGCATTCTGATTAAATGTCCGTTTTGCCTGTCCTCTGAGCCTTGAGCCTTGGAAATTAAATACCAAAGGAAGAAATTTCTTCAGGGACAGAGGTGGGGGAAGTTGGAAGGATTAGCACTGCTGAAATCCAATATCTTTTGAAAACCTAATAAGTTGCTGAAAGATGGCTCCTCGATAAGAGCCCTATTTAACAGGTGTGTTAGCTTATCCAACATTATTGAACATTTTGGGTCAAAGGTAAAAATGGTTGCCAACATCAGAGCACTTTGGAATGCTGGCCCTCAACAAAAACTACATACTTGTTGTTGTTGCTGCTTTGTTTAATTCCCCCCAGTAGCTATAATTTCACATAAATATGGTTGTAGTGTTTGTGCATGCATGGGTGTGTACAATAAATATGTGCATAATAAATACTCATTGTCATAAAGCAATTCATCAGTCATTCATGAAATCATCAGAAATAAAATAAAATAAAAAAAGTGCTGGCTTCACATTGAGGTTGGCTGCAACATATCTGCTGCAAACTATAGGAATATTACATGATGAGGACTAAATCTCTTCCATGGTGTGATTCTTTTACCACTGTCTGAAAGCCATGGGAATTGTCTTTTTCTAAAATGTCCATGCTTGAATTGAATCCCAGTAAACATCAAATATAGCACTGTGAAATTCCTCCTCCTCATCCTTATCCTCCTCCTCCTCCTCCTCCTCCTTCTTCTTCTTCTTTGTTCACCAGTTGTAAGATCCAATGGAAAGTCCTGGTTGTTCATCCATTTGGACCTTGGCGTGTGCCAGTGCCTGAATTTTGTGTGTACATCTGTTTTGCTGGCTTATTTGTGTGCATTGGTTGTTCCTTGCCGCTTGGGCAGATGTATCCTGACTTCGAAGGAATTCCCCAATTAGTTGACTCTCGCAGCAAGCTTGTAGAGGAGGCAGTGGGTCTATTCTCGTTTTCCCCCATAATGGGAGACCAGAACAAACGGGGAGCAATGTGAAACAATTTTACTAACCTCTAAGCCACAGAAACACACCATATATAAGAAATAACAAAAGTACAACTCCGGCAGAACAATTCCCAAACAAAATAGCTGAATAGATAACCATTACATAAAATTGCCAGTATTTCACAAACATTAAGAAGCAGGTTATTTACTGTATATTAAAAATACAAATACAACAAATTGTGTAAATAACAAAAATTATGTACATGTTCAATAAATAATTTATAAATATGTTGAGAAAGGAGACAGACCTCAATTTGAAGGCAAGAATACACCACATATTTCTTAGTATTTTCATTTCTTACTTGCACAAATAATGTAATCATTACAAAGTTGACTGTATATAAAACACTGCATTTATTAAATGATCACATTTTCTGTTATTGAAGCAAAATATTCTTACATATAATGGTAATGTAGTAACTACCAGACGGCTCTGTGGCTAAGTCGATGCAAACGCTTTGAAATGCCGGGATGCCGGGTTCGATCCCAGCTGCGGGCCATGCGCCTTGCGTTGGTTTCGACAGTGGTATCAAGAAAGCCGACCGTCCAGAAAGTAATGGCAAACTACTGGACGTAAGTTTGCCTAGAAAAACCACACAACAGCCAGGGGCTGTTGGGGTTGGTTCTGCAATGTCCTGTAAAGGATAAGCAACAACCTAGTAACTACCATGTTTCTACAACATAAGACCTAACATGAAAGTAGGCCCTAGCATGATTTTTGAGCATGATCGTAAAATAAGCTGTATGCCAAATATAAGCTGTTCCTCAGATTGTCAACCAGATGGACAGATTTTGGTCATCCGTTAAAATAAACAATGGCTGTAGTGAAATATAACTGTGTAATATTATATTCCAGAATAAGAGTGTGACCCTATTAGAGTAAATGAAAATGTTATACTTCAATAAATGTAGATTTTCATGTTTGAAATAATGTAGACTTGAGAAACAAAACAAAAAAAAAATCACCTGACAAAAAATCCTAAGGCATCTTTTGGAGCGAAAATTAACCCAAGACCTGGTCTGATTTTCAGGTAAACATACAATAACAAAACAGCAAAGTAACAACATAACATAATTTAAAGGTAACACTAAAGGCACCAGTTTTTATGTGTATATGTTAATAGAGACCAGTACAGCTCCATTTTTATATGTTGTCTTCCTCACGTATTATTTTGTCAGCCATTCTGCGCACATATTCTGTTCATTTTTTTGTCAAAGCAGGCGATAGGGAAGAAGTCCAAAATATTTATGGAGTAGTCTCTGCTTGACTGCCTGTTCTTTGCTTTCTGTGAAATAAAAAAATTAGAAAGAATATGTGAAACCATTTGATAAATGTTATCATCAACACGTCAGTATTATAGGGACTCACGTAGATACACAGTCTGGGACACGGATTGCTGCGAGGAAATTAAAGAGCAGATTTTCTGGCTACAAAAGCGATAGCTACAAGAACATCTATAATGGACAAAGGAGACATGGTGAAGACCCTTTATGGACGAATGCTTACATAAGACAAGAGGTTGATGAAACGTATAAGAAAGTGTGATTGAGGAATTAGGTGTCGATCCTATGGATCATGCAAGAAGGGATGCATATATATATATATATATATATATATATATATATATATATATATATATATATATATATATATATATATATATATATATATATATATATATATATATATATATGTATATTAGGTGATATTCTTTTTTTTAAATAGCTGAAAAATGAAACACAACTGCAGAAAATGATGGACATAGTTGTTAACAGAAAGTCAAAACAAGGGTCTTAGTTTGAACAGCAGAAAAACAGAAGTAATGATAATTCCAATGAAAATGGCCCCCACAAAATGCAACATCATAATAAATGGGAAAGTTGAAATGTTCAAGCACTTGGGTACCCTGATAACAGCAGATGGAAGATGTATTAAGGAACTTAAAGGTAGAATAGATCAAGCAAAAGTAGCATTTCACACAATGAAGAATGTTCTATGCAATCTTTCTTTGTCAACTGAGGTAAGAAAGAGAATTCACAAGAGTGAAATAAATCCTATCTTGATATAAAGAGGTGAGTCATGAATAGTTGGCTGATTTATGAGAAATTGTATGAAGGCTGCAGAGGTGAGGTTTTATAGACAAATGATAAGAACACCTTACAGATAAATAGAGTCATGAAGGAACCGACTCACAAAAAGTACTAATTGCCCAATTCAGAAGGAGACAATCTACATTCTTTGGTCATGTCATAGGAATGAGAAAACTAGAGTAAGTCGTGCTAGTGGGAAAGTTGGAGGCAAAGAGAGGCAGAGGGAAATTACGAGAATATGTTGGATAAGTTGACATCATGGCATAGATCATCTGTTTCAAAACTGACTGAAAGTACGAGTAAGAAGGTTGTGGATAGACATGGCTACCAACTCCACACAGCATGGACTGTTAGAAAAAGAACTAGATTGTACAGATGAATATGAAAATATATGTTGTTAAGACAGCATTTGGTAAAAGTAATCTGCAATATATACTGTTAAGCCTTCACACAGTCGAGGCCACAACAGATGAGATGAGGTGGCAAGTTCCTTTGCTCACTGCATTTCTTCTTGTATGATTCTGCATATATATATAGTATTGTATGGTTGTTTGTGCTTGAATGGATATATGTGAGTATGTGTATGCACTGGCGACCACGTATGAGTGTGTATGTATGGGAGTTTGTCTATCTATGGGCATGAGTGTTTGTATGCATATTTCTGTATGTTTGGGTTCTTGTGTATGTATGGTTGTTTTTGTATGTTTAGGTGTTTGTGTCTGTATGGGTATATTTGAGAGTATGTGCGGGAGTGCATGTATGTATGTGTATGTATACATGTGCATGCACAGATGTTTGTATGTATGTGTGTATGTGTGTGTCTGTGTATGTGTTTGTGTGTGTGTGTGTGTTTTTGTGAGTGTCTGTGTGTGTGTCTGTGTGTATATGTCTGTCTGTATATGTGTACATATGTATGTGTGTATTTGTGTGTGTGTTGGTGAGCTCCTTGTGTGTGTGTGTACATGCGTGCATGCATGCGTGCGTGTGTGCATGCGTGTTGTGTGTGTGTGTGTGTGTGTGTGTATGTGTGTGTAACTAAGTGAGTGGGTGGGTGTGTGTATGTGGGTTTATGTGTGTGTGAGTGTAATTGTTTTGCATGCATTTTACAACTTATGATTTTGTGTTCTTTCTTGACATTCATAATATGTATATTATTGAATGAACCTAACATGCCTTACTGATAAAATACAACTGCTGTATGAAAGATGGTTGTTTGGAAGAACCGACAGGTCTGCATGCCCATTTTGTGACCCTTTAAAAATAAAGTTTGTCCGTTTGTCATTTATTCATTCTTCTGAAAGTTTCCAGAAAATTAACAAAATTGTCTGGTGTCCATTTTTATAGTGAAGGGTTCATCTCTCTCTTGTTGTACGCCACCTGGACATCATCATCATCATATAAACCACTTTTTCCATTACCTGGACATCACACAAGTGATAAACACCCGGTGACAAAAAAAATGTGGGGTGTTCTCAAAGTCTAGGAAGGATCGATGAACACATCGATAGACACAGGATAGCAGAGGACTCTACTATAACACTGATGTAGCCAAGAGACTAGCGGATGATGATCTCTCTCTCTCTCTCTCTCTCTTTCTTCTCTCTCTCTCTCTCTCTCTCTCTCTCTCTCATTGTACCCCAACAAGACATCACACAAGCGATAAACACCCGGTCATACAAAGTGCCACCATGTGGTTGAAGATCACTCGTGGAAAGGTTCCAGAAAACCCCGTTCAGCCGTTAAAGTCTGGCTTCATCAGGACCTGAACCCACTTCCTTTGGATCCACAGGTGAACATCTAGCTGTCACACCATGTGTGTGTATACATTATGTATGTAAGAAAGGTGGAGACAGGCATGCTCCATGCTGAGTGGCAAGCACCACTTCAGAGGTCGCTAATAGTTATCATCCTTTGGATATTTTCTCTGGTCTCAGCAGGTGTGGTGGGACATGAACAAGCAGGTGGATTAGCTGTTGCTGCACCACAGAATAGTGAACAGATGCATGGCAAGCTAGATCGTCAAAGCAGTGAACAGTGCGGAAGAGTGAACAGATCATTACCATATGGAGAAAATGGCGCAGTGGGGAGTCACCAGTGGATCTGGCTGAGACTCTGCACGAAGAGAAAGTAAATAAGTTTTACCCCACCAAGACATCACACAGAGAGATAAACACCTGGTGACACAAAGAGGATTACCCATGGAGAGTTCCCGGAAAACTCGTTCAACCATTAGGTTATATTAGGGCCCCCGGCAAAAGCCAGGGTGGGTCTTCAAAATAATGAAAAAAATTGCATCCCTCAAGGGGACGATGTTCATATCATTACTGCACTTAGAAAAACAGAAAGATGTAGACATAATACAACTGCTGCTGGCATGGTCAGCAATTGGAACTCTGTTGGATTCTGAAGATGAGGACAGTACTTATGAGAGTTATACAGCATCTTAATTATAATGGAACATTACAAACGTTTGCATACCTAAGTTCCTCTTCTCTCTCTCTCATTTCTCTCAGTTCGCGTTCTATCTTAGACTCTGCTGTCTGTTTGAATTCCTTGTATGAAAACATGTTTCCACCAGCTGCAACAGTGGAGGTTTTTCTGATCGTCTGCCCACCAGATTGCAGTACTTCTGTCTGTCCTCCTAAAGATGTATCAGATTCACTATGGGAGACTGAAATCTTCTTGGAAATGAAATTTCTTTTCTCAGTTCCATCAACCTTATCAAGCCCTGCAATTTCCATGTATTTCTTTGGTTCAATATGTTCTTCCGATGTTGAAATAATTTTGCCTTGACTGCGGAGCTCATGTTCTCTTTCATTCTGTTGTTGTACTTCATGCTGAAGCCGGCTGGTTGCAAACTTTCTCATGGACTCATTAGGTTTTGCTCCGACTGAGCGTGGTATAATTATGGAAGAGCTGTTATTAGATTCATGACTAGCACCGTAAGAAGAATATGAATTATCTTCTTTGTATATGAGTTCAGGTAAGCCTTTAATTCTCCGTAGTTCATTTTCTCGTTCTCTTGCCAGCCGCATCTCTCTTTCTATGGGGGTTTCTTGCTTTTCAAAGTAATTTGGTTTCTTGTCTTCATCATCGCTGTTACCATCAGATATTGGTCGAACTTTGACATCATAGCGTGATGGTATGTCAGATGGGGCTCGAACAGAGCCGTGGCTTGATGCTGAGTCTTCAGATTCCCTTCGTTTGTGGGAGACGAATGCTGACATATCTCTCTGCCAAAGGCCATGACCTGAAGGGGTCTCAACTTGTGAGGATCTTTGAGAGTTGGCTGTTGCAGGTTTTGCTGTCTGATTTGGAGATGTTGGATGCACTGATCCATCTACTTCATCCACAATATGGGAGCTATCCAGTGAGCTTCGAAGTCTTTTTAATTCTTCTTCTCTCTCCTTTAGTTCTCTGAGTTCCTTGGCGATCATACTTTCTCCTTCATGTGCATTCTTTGCAATAGCTTCCTCATATGACACAGCTTTTGCCTTGTTATGGTTTACATCTTTCACCTGAAAAGCAAACACCCAAAATTATTACATGTAAGGGACTTTTCTGGGCATACATGAGTAAACTCTGTATACAGCAAAAGCAGCTTTCAAACACGTAACATAAAATGCAGCGTTTATGTCCAGTTTTCAAGATTAAAAAATATGTCAAAAACAAACACACACACACACACACATACACAAGAGGGTTAACTTATATAAGAATCTTAAGCTGCAAAATCTTTTAAATTGTTTTGAACATCAGTTTGACTAGTACGACAAAATTTATGGTAATGAAAAAACCACACACTATATCCAGCTATTTTTTTCTAGAGAAATAACAAAAATGAGAGTCCTTGTTCCAGAACTGGAGTTTTGTATAGAAATTCGTTTTTTTTTTTACAGATCTGCTTACTTTTATGCAGACTGTTAGTTCCTTGTCTCTCAGGCAAATGCGTTATGACTTCGGTGAATAAAAATCCCTAACTAGTTGCTTTTTTACGACATGCTTAATAGGGAGGGAGTAGGTCTATTCTTTCTGGGGGGTGGGAGGACGGGCATAAAAGAGCGTTGTCCCTGGTGGTACACAATGATATGCAGTACCAACACCTTTTCTGGGGTATAATTTGTTTCAGCATTTCTATAAAAACACTTTGTGGTGAGTACCGGCACGTGTTTAGACACCTTGTACCTGTATCTTTTTTTTTCTAGAGACAAAGCTCCAGATGTCATACTGGCTGCATTTGTAAGTACAAATTTAGATTGTTTCAATCAAGGAACCTAGGTCGTATCAATCAGGGAACCTAGGTCGTATCAATCAGGGAACCTAGGTCATATCAATCAGGGAACCTAGGTCGTATCAATCAGGGAACCTAGGTCAGAGAAGTCAAAGAACCCTTGCCTTAACAGAATCAACCACATGACCATCAGACCAGCTCAGTATTTCAAACGGGATGAAGCCAGACAAGAGTACCTTGCAGGAAACCATCATCATCCGGTGCTTTGATGACTATCCTATGCATTGTTTTTCTTCTTCTTTGTGTTCACCTGCTGCAAACTCCATTGGAAAGTTCTGGTTGTTTTTCCACTTCTGGAGAATTTGAATTTTGCCTGACATCCGTTTGACTCATTTGGTTATTTGTATGTAGAGGGTTGGTTCCCCACTGCTCAGGCAGATGCACTCAGACTTTTGAGGAATAATCCCTAATTAGTAACTTTTAATGATGTTCTTGTTAGGGAGAGCCAGTGTCTGTGGCTTAGGCGTTGCAAGCGCGCTTCGTAGTGCCGGATTCAATCCTTGCTGCAGACGATTTGCGCTGGTTCTATCAGTGGTACCAAGAGCTTACCATTCAGAGAGCAATGCAAACTGAACGTAAAATTTGCCTAGAAAAACCATAACAGGCAATAAATGCTGGGGTTGTTTGTTAGGGAGGCAGTGAGTCTATTCTCTCCCCCTTCACCAAAATGGGTCCCTGGAACCCACATTGGGAGTGCGCCATCATTCCTTTACATAACTTGCAGCCTCCAGGGAGCCAAAGAAGAAGAATAAACCAACCCAGAACTGGTTTCGTCCCCTGTTACACACTGAGTACATAATGAGGAGAGAATCTAGCCATTTTTGGGCTGAATGGCTCCAAGTAAGGACGTGGTTTACAGCTAGGCTGTGATATCTGATCCTTTCTGCTCAACATATTCGATTTCAGAAAACCTATTTTTCATTGCCTATTACAACATGCTTGTTAATAAGCAGTGATATCCCCCCCCCCCCCCCCCCCCCCCCCCCCGCGTTTTTCATACTCTGGTATGTAAAAAGCAGACTCAGATGTTGTTTACCGTGTCCAGCGGACATGAATTGTGTGGGTTTTTGCAAACATCACAACGCTGTGGTCAGTTGTGTTTAAGACCATATTTGTGAACTTAGCTCATGATGCGCTCACGAGAAAGCAACACAATTTAGGGTGAACACTATTCACTGCCTATGCAATTGAAACTATAAAAGGAAAATGCTACACCAAAACACTCAGTTCATTTTCGAGCAGTCACAAATGGTGTCTCTATCTATAAATTTAAGGAATCTTGCTATTGGCAGGAGAAAGTCAAAATCAGGTTGCCAGGCATCTAAACATGAATCAGAGTACCATCAGTCAACTTTGTCACCGGTTTCAAGCCACTAGTTCAGTTGACGACTGACAACACAGTGGACAACCCAGAGTGACAATCATCATCATCATCATGTAGCAGGTCCTTTGCAGAACGTCGCTCTCATCACAGTCTGCCTGTAAGAAACTCGGTCTCCTACCAGTTCTCCCGCCTCATGAACTTTCACACTCAAGGAGTCACTTATATCCTGTGCCCATCTTCGTGTCGGTCGGCCTCTGCCCCTCCTTCCTGGTACCATGCCTTCTGCTAAAAAAATTTCCAATCCGTCGTGGCGCTTGATATGACCAAAATATTTCAGCTTTCGAGAAAGGATGCTGTTTATTAGCCAATCTTCCTTGATGTTCAGATCTTTTAAGATGTCAATATTTCTCATCTTCTTTGTCCAAGATATTCTGAGAATCTTTCTATAGCATTTCAGCTCAAAAGCCCCTATTCTCTTTCTTAAGGACTGAGAGATAGTCCACGATTCACATCCGTATGTAGCCACAGGGAAGATGCATGCTCTCAAAATTCTAATTTTTATCTCCTTGCTGGTGCTTAACCATAGACTTTTAAGGCTGTTCAATCTTTGCATTGCTATGGCCATCCTCCTTTTAATTTCTGTCGAACAGTCTCCATTGTTGTTTATTATAGAGCCTAGATATTCAAAGTTTGTGACATTTTCAATTTCTTCATCATTTTTTGTTATTTTTGGGTGACAGCCAGTTTTATGTGTGGACATTATTTTCGTTTTCTTTAAATTCAAGAACAGATTTTGATCTTAACTGTGCTTTTGGACGGACAATATTAAATTTTCTATTCCCTTTACGCTGTTGGAAAGTAGGACTGTGTCATCTGCGTAGCGGAGTTCCAGAATAGGGTTGCCATCAATTTTTGGGCGGATCATAACTGTCACAAGTCTGGTCATTTTTGACATTTCTCATTATATTTTCTGCGTATATATTGAAAAGGTATGGTGAGAGAATGCAACCCAGCCTCACCCCCTTTTGCACCTTGAACCAATCAGATGTTTCACCAGCTCCTCTGATGGCTGCTTGTTGTACATGATAGAGATTTTCAATTAATTGCACTAAATGCGCTGAAAACCCCATACTTTTCATAATAGTCCACAGTTGGTGGTGCTGGACACAATCAAATGCCTTGCTATAATCAATAAAACAAGCATGGAGATCTACATTGTATTCTCTACATTTTTCAAAAATTATTCTCATATTAAATATGTGATCCCTAGTTCCTCTACCCTGTCTGAAACCCGCAGAGTGACAATAGCAGAAGATAATAATTTATTCTGCTTCATAACCTCAGAGTCAAGTTTACAACAGCTTCCTCCACTACTCAGGCTGTCCTAAATAAACAAAATTACATAATATATAATAACATAACAAGTACATGCTCTGAAAACCTAATGAACACTTTATATCCCCATTATAGTCCTAGGGACTTGACCGGATTTTTAATGAAAATTACTACTTTTACATATTCAGCAGTTTGTGAAGTAAATTTAGAAGTACCTCATTCTGAACAGGCTGCTGGTGCTGTACATGACCATGCTGCTCTTGTTTCTGTGACTGTTGCATGCTGGTAGATGTCTTCCTTGTCTTTGCCATTTCTTCCTCTCTGCCCTTCTGTAGGCGGATCTCTCGCTCTATGATGCTCTCATTAAGGTTCGCACCTTCATTGCTTTGATCAGCCTGTGGATATCAACAAGATTAAAAATATCAAAACAAGTTAAATAAAAAAAAAAAGTACTAACAAACAGTTTATTTGTGAAGACTGTGATTGTATTCAGCATTTCTGACTTGCTTTTGTTGTTGTATTTTATCTCTCTGTTGTTTGGGTTAGTAATAATATTCCACTCCTGACTAAAGACTAAACCAAGGTCTTCTGTATGAGAGCTCACATTCTAGCCATTGGCCCAGCAGCTACTCCATTTAAAATAAAAAACCCTTATGTGAACAGTTCATGGCAAATGCAATAACCATGAGGCCCTAAATCCCCCCCCCCCCCCCCCCCCCCCCCGCTGCCTTCCCCCTTTTTCTGCCCTACATAGCCTTAAATAGTAATGAATTTAGGTTGTAAAGACAGTAATCATATTACTGCGGCATACCTGGAAATGAGTTAGCAGACAGACTTGCAAATAATGGAACAAAAGAGAAACAACACACCCATTCATTGTCATTACCAGAAATCAGAACACTTATCAAAGGAAAAGCAATTGTGGAGAGAACAAATAAACAGTAAACATCCACAAGACCCTATCAGCAGACTCAACAGAAAGCAGCATACACAAATTTTTCGTCTATGAACAGGACACGAAACCGAACGCAAAAATGAATAAAGAAGAAGATATTAATTACCGTTATGCCTGTTTAGCTTCACATTTAGTAGAAAAAAAAAGTATAGGTATTTTTAGAACTGAGGTAGCGTAATAGTAGTAATTTTCATGACAATTACAGTGTTCTACCCACAGGGTTATAACTGTGATACAAAGTGTTCATCGAGCCTTAGAGTTTATATTTGCTAACTTTTATATATCATGAAAATATTTGTTTAGGATAATTATGTTACATTTGTATTATTGTTTCCAAAATTGCTTTCTTTAAACCTTTCTGGGTTATGATTGAGACAGAAAATGTACTGTAAATATTTTGATACTTACTTACTTAGTCGCTCCTCTTCTACCTTGGGGTGTAGAGGTTTGCCAGAGAGATCGCCAGACGTCTCTATCAGCAGTTTTCTTTCTGGCTTTGTTCCATTCCAGTCCTCTGTCAGTCAGGGACTGTCGGATGTTGTCTTCCCAGCGCACCCTGGGTCGTCCCGGAGATCTGGTTCCCTGGTTCTTAGCCTCCCATGCTTGCCATGGTGGCCGATTTTCTCCCATTCTGCACACATGTCCAAACCATCGTAACTGTGACTGATCCACTCGGGTTAGTAAGGGCTGGGTATCAAGATCTTGACGTATTGTCTGATTGCGGACTTTGTCCCTTCTTGTCACTTGGACCACCTTTCTCAGGTATCTCATTTCCGAGGCCTGCAGCTGGCTTCTGTGAGCTGTTGTCATTGCCCATGACTCACACCCATAGGTCAGGACTGGTACATAGGTAGAGCGGTAAACAGCCATTTTCGTCCTCTTGCCAATTTCTCTTTTGCTAAGAAACCCTCGGTTTATGGCCTGGAAGAGTCTCCCAGCAGCTGCTTTTCGTGTAGCCAGCTCAGTCTTAATGCCTCCATTTTGGTCTAATACAACTCCAAGGTATTTGAACTGGTTAACCTGCTCCAACGCATACTGACCCATCATGATCTGGTGTTTCTTCTCCTCTCTTGAGATCACCATGGTTTTAGTTTTGGAGACACTGATGGTCATCCCTTTCTTTTCAAGCTCTTCCTTCCAGACAAGTAAGTTGGACTGAAGGTGTGCCTCTGATTTAGCTATCAGGGCCACATCGTCTGCAAAAGCCAGCTCTGATATACAGATTGGTCTCATCTTCCAGTACCCTACAGAGTACTTCTTTGTCTTCTCCTTACAAGTCTTGATGACATCATCCATCATAAGAATGAAGAGGTAAGAGCCTTAGAGTTTATATTTGCTAACTTTTATATATCATGAAAATATTTGTTTAGGATAATTATGTTACATTTGTATTATTGTTTCCAAAATTGCTTTCTTTAAACCTTTCTGGGTTATGATTGAGACAGAAAATGTACTGTAAATATTTTGATAATCTTACTAATTGTGTGTAATTAAAATAGTGCATTTATTACGCCTTTAGTATATTATCCTCGTTGATTTTGTCTCTAGGAGAAATTTCTTCACAGATGTCTTGGGCATTCTTTACTCTTCTAAATATGGATTTTTGTTCTAGCAATAATTTTCTTGACTTTGCCACGCAGGTCTCTGGTTTTTCATGCTCATTTGAGGTAGTGTATAGCAAGAAGCCTGCCTGCCAGCCCAAATGAATTGGATTCAAATCTGCATTAAGACTAATTTCTATAACTGGCCTGGGCTATGAGGTCACCTCAACCTAAAAAGTGCATCACGAATTATCATGGGAAGTAAAGGTGGCCAGTATAATGCTGACCACATCACCTGATAACATGACTGCATGACATGAGAGTAAAACATGGTAAAGCACGCCTATGCTACCTTCAATCCTGAGATAGAAGACATTATAATCAGCTAATTATAGGAACAATCAGTAGAGGTACCTTAGAGAGGCTTCTGCATTGGAAGATGACTGAGCATGCATGAGAATGTCAAAGGTGCAGTGACATTTATTGTGATAACATAACACATCATGTGCCAGTTGGCCTATAAATATCCGGGTTAGCAGACTCAACTGGCTTGGAAAGGGTCCTTCACTCACCTAATTAATATTGTGTTTTATATTGATTTATAATATTTTTAATGACAGTTATGCCTTTTTAACATCACTTACGGTAGAATTTTTTTTTTCACCAGTGCTTACTTGATATAATAAAATCATTTAGTTCTTTTTCTTCTATTTAGCGTTCCCTGGCTGTAAACTCTAGAAGAAAGAAAACTCTGGTTGTTCGTCCACTTCTGCTCTTTGGTCTTGTTCCAGAACTTGATTTTTACATGCACATCCTTTTTAAGGATCTGGCTCTTTTTGTATGCAGACTGTTGGTTCCTTACCTCTCTGGCAGATTCACTCCAACTTCAAGATAAACATACCTAATTAGTCAACTTGTTTGGCATGCTTGTTAGGTGAGAGGGGGCGGGCAGTGGTCTCTCTCCCCCCCCCCCCCCCCCCACCTCCCCTTTCCACAATGTAATCATTATAGTCATAAGGACATTTTAAAATCCAACAGATCATTGAATAATTTTTAATTATTCTCTGTATTTAAACACATTTCATGAAAACATTTGTGCATGCGAGAGACAGAGATGGAGAGAAAACGAAATGAGGGAGAGAAGAAAGAGAGGTGAGGGAGTGAGAGAAAGAAAATTGGTGGAAGGAGTCAGAGATGACAGATACAGAGAGAGAGAGATTGTGAGAGAGAGAGAGAGAGAGAGAGAGAGAGAGAGAGAGAGAGAGAGAGAGAGAGAGAGAGAGAGAGAGAGAGAGAGAGAGAGAGAGAGAGAGAGAGAGAGATAAAGAGAGAGAGAGAGAGAGAGAGAGAGAGAGAGAGAGAGAGAGAGAGAGAGAGAGAGAGAGAGAGAGAACAAAACAGAGATAAAGTAGTAAAAGTAAGCAAAGACCCTGTTTTTGCTCCAGTGATGATAGATTCAGATCTGTAGAGAACTGTCAGCACCCTATGGGTAAAGTGCTCAACATGAAATAACATACAGTGTGTATTTTAAATTCGATAATATGTTAAATCATCACAAAGTAACATGAGGTAGGGGCTGCGGCCAACCAGCATGAAGATAAGCAAAGGATATAAATGACATCTTAGGCATAAAAGTGCACAAGGTGTCAGAACTGGTGAGAGACAGAGTTTTCTTCAGGCAGACTGTGATGGCCAGGTTCTGTGAAGGGCCAGCTTCAAAATGACTATCCCTATGTTTCGAGCTATTCAACAGGTCAAATTGTAAAGAAATGGCAAGCACAACATGAGCTAAAAGAACCTGGAGCAGTGCAAAGCAAGAGATTAACTAAAACAATTTGGAGAAACACCAAAGGAAAAAGTGAGTCAACATAACTTGGAGAAGCACCAAAGAAAAAAGTAAGCTAACAAAACCTGGTAAAGCACTAAAGAAAAAGTGAGCTAATAAAACTTGTTGAAGCACCAAAGAAAAAGTGAGCTAATAAAACTTGGAGTAGCACTAAAGAAAAAGTGAGCTAATAAAACTTGTTAAAGCACTAAAGAAAAAGTGAGCTAATAAAACTTGGGGAAGCACCTAAGAAAAAATGAGCCAACATAACATAGAGAAACACCAAAGAAAAAACAACAAAATCTGGAGAGATGCCAAAGAAAGGTCTGCTAATCAGATTTAGAGAAACCAAAGAAAATGTGAGAATTTAAGCCAGAAATTAAGAATATGTGCACTAACAGACTATAACAACTATGAAATAAGTGAACTAAAATTGTCTTTACTGCCTACATTTACCACTTTCAGGTCAGTGTAGGACAAGGGGGTCGTGAACTTAGGGATTTAAGGCCGCAATGTTAGTTCAGTCATCAAAAAACTTTGCAAGTTATGATTTTTATGTTTACAACCAACTTAAAAAAAAATCTTCATCCCTTACTGAGAACTGAACCCTGGTCTCCTGCATGAATGCTTCAACTAGGAACAGTATTCAAAATAAAAAATAAAAAATTTTCTAAGAAAACTTGCACAATAACGCCAGAACAAGTAAAGGAAATTAAAGTAAAGCATTCAACTATCATATGGATAGAGCCATTTTGTAAGCGAATAATGATAGCTTTGTAAACAAGCATAAATATTAAAGAAAATGACAGAAATTTGGCGTCACAGAAGAATGATAATAATACCAACAGAAAATTAGTAACTGTCACAGCAGCGTAATAAACCAGATATGTGGTTTAACAATAAACCCATACCAGCTCAAACACATAATTAATAATAAAGATACTAACAGAGGTCCAGGTTCTCCTTAAAACTACGTAGTTTTAAGGAGAACCGAGGTCTACCAAGAAAGTAAGGAAGCAAGCTATAGAAATAAGACAAAAATAATCCTAATTCTTTAGCTAAGTTATGATATGAACAAAATATACTGTGACAGCTGGCAGAATAATAAATAGAGAAGCTCAAGTACAACAATGAAACCAAGACATTGTAACCTTGCTTTATGGCATGAATAGAACTGGCTAAAAATGTCTTTAACAAGATGTGACAATTATTGACAGCTAGGGATATAAACAACACATTAAAAATGAGCACCTGGACAATGAACAAGCAACTAAAAAACCGAACTGAGTGGCTGGAGATGTGGATGTACAGAAGAATAGACCATATTTCACGGAAACAAACACAAATACTGAGGTTCTGAAGAGACTGGGAATGAAATAAAAGTTGTTGAAAGACAGAATGAAAAAAAGAAAGAAAGAAAGAAAGAAAGAAAGAAAGAAAGAAAGAAAGATAGATAGATAGATAGATAGATAGATAGATAGATAGATAGATAGATAGATAGATAGATAGATAGATAGATAGATAGATAGATAGATAGATTAGATAGATTAGATAGATAGATAGATAGATAGATAGATAGATAGATAGATAGATAGATAGATAGATAGATAGATAGATAGATAGATAGATAGATAGATAGATAGATAGATAGATAGATAGATAGATAGATAGATAGATAGATAGATAGATAGATAGATAGATAGATAGATAGATAGATAGATAGATAGATAGATAGATAGATAGATAGATAGATAGATAGATAGATAGATAGATAGATAGATAGATAGATAGATAGATAGATAGATAGATAGATAGATAGATAGATAGATAGATAGATAGATAGATAGATAGATAGATAGATAGATAGATAGATAGATAGATAGATTAGATAGATAGATTAGATAGATAGATTAGATAGATAGATAGATAGATAGATAGATAGATAGATAGATAGATAGATAGATAGATAGATAGATAGATAGATAGATAGATAGATAGATAGATAGATAGATAGATAGATAGATAGATAGATAGATAGATAGATAGATAGATAGATAGATAGATAGATAGATAGATAGATAGATAGATAGATAGATAGATAGATAGATAGATAGATAGATAGATAGATAGATAGATAGATAGATAGATAGATAGATAGATAGATAGATAGATAGATAGATAGATAGATAGATAGATAGATAGATAGATAGATAGATAGATAGATAGATAGATAGATAGATAGATAGATAGATAGATAGATAGATAGATAGATAGATAGATAGATAGATAGATAGATAGATAGATAGATAGATAGATAGATAGATAGATAGATAGATAGATAGATAGATAGATAGATAGATAGATAGATAGATAGATAGATAGATAGATAGATAGATAGATAGATAGATAGATAGATAGATAGATAGATAGATAGATAGATAGATAGATAGATAGATAGATAGATAGAAAGAAAAAAAGAAAGAAAGAAAGAAAGAAAGAAAGAAAGAAAGAAAGAAAGAAAGAAAGAAAGAAAGAAAGAAAGAAAGAAAGAAAGAAAGAAAGAAAGAAAGAAAGAAAGAAAGAAAGAAAGAAAGAAAGAAAGAAAGAAAGAAAGAAAGAAAGAAAGAAAGAAAGAAAGAAAGAAAGAAAGAAAGAAAGAAAGAAAGAAAGAAAGAAAGAAAGAAAGAAAGAAAGAAAGAAAGAAAGAAAGAAAGAAAGAAAGAAAGAAAGAAAGAAAGAAAGAAAGAAAGAAAGAAAGAAAGAAAGAACTGAAATAATTCAGCCACATTAGAAAACATAACATTCTTTAAAAGAAGAAAAAACATACTATTTGGAAAAGTGTAAGACAAGAGAGCAAGAGATTTATAATGGTAAACGTAGGATGATAATATCAAGAGATAGACGAACAACAGAGTGTACTATCAAGAAAAGAGACAGTGTGTTGTAGATACACTGCAGCCAACCTTCATTGTGAAGATGACACCTGATGAGCTGATGACTGCAAGAAATTATACCAGTATAAAGCTAATCAACATCAGTAGACAGTGAAAGGTGTAAAAAATGTATGATCACAAACTTCGGCCCAGCAATATATTTATGGAAGAACCAGAAAGGATGGGCGTAGGCCAACCAGCACAAAGATGTGGCTCCTTGGATATGAAAGTGTATTAGGTGAGAGAGCTGGCGAGAGATAATTTTTTATTCAGGCCGACCACAATGAGAGAGATGTTCTGCAAATGACCTGATAATTTATGATGATTATGTGAATGAATTACAAAGACATTACAAACTGAGTCATTTAAAATTGAATACATTGTAAACCTTACATAATCATCATCCTCGCTATCTTTTCTGTTTCTCTGTCCTCTGCCCCACAAATCAGAGCCTCTGTCAGCCTCGGCTAGTTCGTTGTATACGGGATGGAAGGACTCGCTCTCAGCTTCGTAAGAGGTCATGATTGTTTGCCCCTGATTCTTCTGCTTTTGCACCTGCTTCTCCCTAATCTCCTTCTCCTTCCTGATGACGTGTTCCCTCTCATTGGCTAACCGTATCTCTCGCTCGATAGCACTCTCGGAATCAATCTGCTTCTTAAACATCTCAGAATCGCCTCGTTGTACTTCTTCTAAGCCGTTTACTTGTGAACTCTCAGAATCGTGATCAAGTGAGCTTGCAACGTTCTTTTCTTTATATGGTATTCTTACTTCCCACTTTGGGGCAGACTTCTTTTTTAATGTTGAATCTCCTTGAGTGATGTTGTGTGATGTAAATATGCTTTCCCACTGTCTTTTAGTTGTGGACAGATCGGCGATTGATTCTCGATCAACTGATTCAGTTGTGTCCCCTTCTTTTAGCACATTCTCACTATAGAGACTGATCTTCTGCTCATCTCCCTGCTTCTCGATCCATCCGGCTTCAGGGAGAGGTACCGGCCGGTCAGCGCTGTAGACGAAACCGTAATTGCTGGGGTTAGAGCTCTTCACTGTCTTATCGCTGGGAGTTTCTGAAAAACAAAATAAGACAAAGACACGGTTATTAGGATATAAGTAAAAACAAAGTAAATGTTTCTTTCTACTCCAGTAGTGCATGGAACATATGATAACAGACTTGTGTTTGTATAGATCTTTCCCAGGAGGTGTGTAATGCGGTTTCTGTTTATTTCGACGGATCAACATCACGGCACACGGGTGTAACCTATAAGTGCTCCATTCTAATTCTAACTCAAGCTTGAGTCTGAAGAATCTCAGCACAGTGCTCAAACTCCGTTGCACTGGCGAGAATCCTGAAATACTTTAGGTAGATTTTAACTACAAATTTACTCTTTGCGATTTCCAACTGCCAAGGGATTGTTTTTACATGCGCAACAATACACACGGGCGTCCGATCTTACCACCCAGCGACCAGGGGAAATTACTAGAAATCCGCATGAAAAAATCCTAGCCTTCACCAGGGCTAGAACCCAGGACCTCCAGCGCTCAAGGCGGACACCATGCCTCGAGACCACTCAGGGGATGTGGTCAATTTCATAGCATCTGCCTTTACTTCATAAAACATGAATGGTACCCATTTTAGGATAGACTGAGATGGGATTCTTCTTCTTCTTAAAGTACATGCCGTGGACGTTGGTAGTCAGGTCTATCCACAACTTTCTGTCTCGTGTACTTCCAATCAACTTTGACACAGAATGTGATTCTTAAAATGTATAAAACAAAGATCAGCTCGCCCATTTATCTAAGTCTTTCTGATTAGTGAGCACCCTGAGTTTTTCTGACGGTACACAGTGCCGGTTGGCATCTGTTGCTTAGGCGTTGCGAACGCGCTTTGTAATACCGGGGGTGTCTGGTTCGATCCCAGCTGCGGGCTTTGAGCCTTGCTTTGGTTTCGACAGCGGTATCGAGAAGCCGACCGTCAAGAAAGCAATGGCAAACTACTGGACGTAAATTTGCTAAGGAAAACTACAACAGCCAACAAATGCTTGGGTTGGTTCTGCTACGTTCTGTAAAGGATACGCAGCTATCTTTAACGCAGTGCTGACACATTTTAAAGCTACATTTTTCTTCAGCACGACTGCAATGGATACTTTTTGGTGCGTACTGGCACCTTTTTATGTGGTGAGTACAGGAGCCCACAAGGATAAAACAATTAATAAAGCTTCTTCTTCTCAAAGTCCAAGCCGTGTGGCCTTGGTAGTCATATCTATCCACAACCTTCTGTCTCGTGTACTTTTAATCATCTTCACTGCATGATGTCAAACAGTCCAGCATCTTTTCTCTCGGTTTCCCCCTGTCTCTTGTCCCCCAACTGTCCTACTGTAGTGGTATACTTCAGTTTTCTTCTTCTCATCACATGACCAAAAATGCAGATTGTCTCTTTCTGATGTGTGCAATCATTTCTCTTTGTGAGCCAGTTTCTTTCCAAACATCCTCATTACTCTTTTTATCTGTCCAGGGTATTCTCATCATTCATCTATAAAACAACATCTCCGCAGCTTCCAAATAATTTTTCACTAATATACCAAGTGTCCATGATTCACTTCCATATATCAAGATAGGATTTATGTAGCCTTTAAGCTTCTTCTATGTTTAATTAATAAATGTCTTGTGACCTTAGTGAAATAATCATGTCCTTCCTGACGAAAGTTTGACACTGTGATATGTAGCGGCATGGAAATCATAAATAAGCCATGGCGATACCAATCAATGCCATGAATGAAGTTTCTCCTCTTTATAGGGTAAAGCCTGGGCAGAATCTGTTGCCCGTGAACCATGATCTCTCTCTCTCTCTCTCTCTCTCTCTCTCTCTCTCTCTCTCTCTTTCTCTCTCTCTCTCTCTCTCTCTCTCTCTCTCTCTCTCTCATTCTCTCTCCGAATGTAAGACAGTCCTGCGTGCCTAATTTGTAACCCTTTGAAAATTAAGTTCGTTCGTTCGTTCTCTAATTCTCTCTCTCTCATTCTCTCTCTCATTCTCTCTCTCATTCTCTCTCTCATTCTCTCTCTCATTCTCTCTCCCTCTCTCTCTCTCTCTCTATCTCTCTCTCTCTGCTATGATACCTCAAAGAAAAGGTAATACCAATGTATTTGGAACAAAGTATGCTGCGCAAGATTTCAGTTTAGAATACCAGTGATCTGTCTCAGGAATTTATTTAATGTATCAAGCAAATAAATAACATAGGTTATTTTTTTTTAATTCGACAGTTACTCTTAGAATTTCCAAATATAGAACAAACGAAATTCCACCTCACACCAAACAATATAAGAAGGCAGAAAAAAAAAAAAACTAGCATTTTTTACTTTAACCTTTAGAATACAAGTGACTGATAATCTTGTATGCTACCAAAAATGTTCTATTACTGACAACGCTTGTTTTTTAGTTTACCCTTCGCCCCAAGCTTTAATACGTTCCCCCAGGGAATATACGAGTCTATAGTTAACATACGCAGCGCTGATACAAAACACAATTTTGAAAAATGCAGTTGCTTTGGGAACTCAAAAGAGCTTAAGACTTATTTAAGTGTGTAATGACGACGAAAATTGTAATAATAATAGGCTAATAATAATCATGACTAAATGGCAAATAAATATTATAAATATACTTTCAGTAATAGGAAATGCATCAACACATACTGAAACATAGACCTTATATAAAGTATCCAGAAACCATGACTTTGGCTACTATGGATATCGCAACCCTTCGGCCTTGATTCCATTATAGATACAGTAAATCTGAGAGAAATATGGCTTTTCTGCCTACCCTCGGTCGCGAACCCGGCCCACAAGGAGTTCTTCACCTGGTCGCCGCGAAGTCCGGTGAAACCAACAACGCTAGCGAGCCGGGCATAAATATGCATGCATATATATATATATATATATATATATATATATATATCATAGGAGCCGCTTAACCCTCAAAAATATTTTATAAGTTGGATGGTTGGGATAGGGAGTCAAGCCCCTAAACATTGTTCTAGAGGACGGCATTCCTATACACTCAGATTTCAGTGCACCTGGACTACAAAAACATTCAAAGCATTAACAGTATTAATTTGACGTTGAACGTAAGTGAACAAAAACTGCAGTTAATTAATGTACACAAAAGACTTTTCCGCGGTACAGCCTAAAGGGACAAGACAGAACGGGGTCTTGTTTGAATCTAAAGGCAATTTCACCGTGTCCAAAGAATGGGAAATTTCCAACCCTCCTTTTCAAGGTATGGACTAATTTTGTATAATTTATATTAGTGTGTTCAAACGGCGACACAATTTGCACCAAGTCACAAATGGTGCCTGGGTTAAGCCGGTTTTGCCCTCAAGGTCCAGACTAGCAATGTATGGAGGCTGAATTGATATAATTAGTGTCATTCACGCAGAAGTGGTATCCCCTAGCGCATACGCTTTGAAAGCAGTTCACTTGACCACATGCGCTCTTGGAAAGGGGGGGGGGGGGGGGGTCGTTCCTAGGAGCTGTTTCTTTGACAAAGTAAGCATTGGGAGCTGTTTCCTTGACAACATACACTTTAGGAACCACTACCCTGACAAAATACTCGTTGGGAACCGTTTCCTTGACAACATACACTTTAGGAACCACTACCCTGACAAAATACTCGTTGGGAGCCGTTTCCTCGACAACATACACTTTGGGAGCCGTTTTCTCGACAACATACACTTTGGGAGCCGTTTCCTCGACAACATACACTTTTGGAGCCGTTTCCTCGACAACATACACTTTGGGAGCCGTTTCCTCGACAAAATACCCTTTGGGAGCCGTTTCCTCGACAACATGTGCTTTAGGAGCCGTTCCCTAGACAATATACGCTTTGTGATCTGTTCCTTGACAACATACGCTTTGGGAGCTGTTCCCTCGACAACATACGCTTTAGGAGCTGTTCCCTCGACAACATACGCTTTGTGATCTGTTCCTTGACAACATACGCTTTGGGAGCTGTTCCCTCGACAACATACGCTTTAGGAGCTGTTCCCTCGACAACATACGCTTTAGGAGCTGTTCGGTCCGTAACGTGCGCGTTAGGAGAACATGTGCTTAGACTGTCGTTTCCCTGACAACATTCACTTTGAGAGCTATTGTCACCCCAATTATTGCAGACCCGGTTAGCTCTGTATTGTTATTCTTATTATTGTTATGCGTTTTTCCAAGACAGGGTGGGTGACACGTTGTGTTATTGTTTACGGCTAGGCTGTGGTATCTTCCCGTTAACACATCAGCAAATCCCCTAATTAGTCGTCTTACAAGAAATGCAAGTTAGGTTCACCACTCCCTGCCATCCCAAAGGTGACCCAGAACCCGCACTGTGAGCTAGGTAGACATATCTACTTCTGAGCCTAAATGAGTAACAGGAAAGGTCATAAAAGAAAAGGATCCCATTATGATTAGTTATCGATTAGTCACAATTTCGACTGCATAGCAAACGTGTCGCCCCCATAGCTGCCATCAAAAATCACATAAAACGTATATCGCCGGCCCTTGTGGAAACAAAATTGAATCAGTCTGCAATCTCGACAAAGCCAATAGCGCACACACACGTTAACCGCTAAGGTAGCCCCCTGACCTGCCAACACAAACATGTCACCATTAGAATTGCAGCTGGCCGTCGATGGAAGCAGCAGTTATAACAAATCAGCAGTCTCATACTTTTCTCAATGTGCAGTTCACAACAAAAACCACGTTGTGCAGTCCAAGAGCATTTCAAATCAAGTGGGCAGCTCATAGTGTCGCGCCACGCAATCAACCGACTAGCTGGGTGATGGAGCTATTTACTTTCAGTCCTTCATGAAGAAACATACAACAGCAAACCATAGCTAGAAATAAGTAACTTTTAAAAACTAAAATAAAAATCGAAAGCCAACCTTTGTGACATTTTTTATAACAGGGGTGGCGACAAAACGAAAGGAGGGAGAGGGTTCGTTAAGGGCAGCAATAATTTTTTAAGAGATCTACGCCTTATTTAAGTACACAATAATATCAACTTGTTCTAAACTGAAATATATAT